TATCCCAAGGCGTGGGTTAACAAAATCAGACAGGGCTCAGACCTGGCAACACCTCTAACCAAAAACAGTCGGACACATCCGACTATTGAGTATCAAAAACATGAACACATACATTTCTCATCCTCTTTCCCACGACCTCTAAGGGATATACCATCGGGTCACTTACTTGTAACATCGTCCCTGTCTAACAGCAATCTGACACCAATGGAACCATTTTTTTTTCTTCTCGCATCTCTTTCTCGTTTCAATTCTCTTTATTTTCTTGTTTTTACATTTCTTCCTTCTCTTGTCGACTACTTTCTCGGTATCCGTTACTGTCTTCTCCAATTTCAATTCTTCTAGACTTTCCCTCCTTCGCCCTTGCTGTGACCCGACGCGGTCCTCGCTACATCTTCCTGGGCGCGTCGGAGCCGTTTCAGGTTGAGGCGAACCCGCATCCACTCCCAGCGCCTTTGTCGCGTCCCCGGCTGAAGTTTAAGTACAACAATAAAGCATGCTTTCAAATTAGCGCGCGCCGAGGAGCAGCGTTACCGACGATTAGCCTCATCCCGCCGCTCCGCCACCCTCTGGCGCCCCCGCCAACCAGTCGATCCCCCGCTCCCGCCGTTCAAGCCGCCCCCGTCGCTCCCGTCGTCCCCGCCGTCCCCGCCGCCCCGCGCCCCGCCGCTCCAAGCGCCCCAGTCATTCCCGGCCGCTCCCGCCACCTCAAACGCCCCCGCCCCCTCCCGACTCTGCCGCCCCCGTGATCACTAGTCCTCGGAATTTTAGGCTCAAAAAGTTATGATACAGGCGCGTAAAATATGGTACAAAACTTTTGAAATTAGGCACTATTAGGCATGAAACGTGACGTTTCAGGAACTTATAATTGGTTAAATTGATTAAAATAAGCATTATAAAACATATAGACATAAAAAGTTATGTTTGGATAACTATAATTGATCGCAAAAAAATAAATTAGGCACTTTATATTATTTAGGAAAGTCACATTTAGTTACATTTGTGAAATTAAGTATTACGAATATTGTTTTATTAACTTTTATTTCTTTTCATTTCATTCCTTCTTTCACACTTTTCATTCTGAACTTGACAACAGCGCAGCTGCACCGGGAATGGGTACAATTGTCTGAGTGCGTGCATATGCAGATGGGAGGCGAGTGTAAAACGTCCTGTTTATATTGACTTGCAGTGCTCCTTATGAATGGGATGTTGGATGAGAGATTTTGGTTCGTAGCCGATTGCGTGTTTGATCAGGGAATGTTCACGTTTCGGTAAATTGGGGAAAGTGTTTGTTTTTTGATATAACATCCATAACGGTTGGCTTCCATCATTCTTGTATGGGTTACATCGCGTCTTTACAAAAACGGAAATACAAGCACACAATCCCGCTGTTAGTTTCCATACATTTGTCTTTCTCATGAATATCTTTGTAAAACAATGAAATGAATCGTTTTTAAGTGAATCTTAGTTTCCCGCGGTCAAACAAATCGACGCTTTGAGTGCGAAATGTAACAAAAATTGAAGCATTTATTTTTTAGTTTCTTCCAATGTTTGATATACTTTCATTCATATTTACACTGTGAAATACCTCCACTCTCCCACGTTATGCCTAGTTTATCTGCACCCACTCCTTAAAGCCTACACATGCTAACTATTTTTACGTGTTTTAATCTAGATTAGAGTATCGGAACTTTTTACTCCATCTCTTCTCTTTGATGATGCAATTTCTCTCCATTGAAACAAGAAATCCCATTTGTTGATAGAGGGCTGGCAGTTAATGAATAGTTGAATCTGTCTTACTGATTCAAAACCTCAGTATCACGCAAATCGAAAGAGCGGGCTAGAAATGGTAACCGAAGACGTTCGTTCATTTACCAAAAATAGTAGTTAATGCAATTAGTATATATCGTTATGCAATATTGCATGTTTAGAAAACGAGAGTACATGTTTAGAAAACGAGAGACGTTGGACGTGAGTTTTCAACCTTGTACGAATGCAATGAATTATATAAACGAGTTGACTAGACATTTCTTTTGTACACCAGCATTACAAATTTATAAAAGGACCGCACTTAATTTTAGGAAACAAGTTTCTGATGACGTCTCCGGTATTTGACATCTGTGCGAGAAAACGGTGATCGGCTGTTCTGTTTACCGCTACCTCCTCGCGAAAATTGGCTGAATATGTGATGACTCAATCATTCGTACCGTAAAATTCTAATACATCACCATTAGTACCGTAAAATGCCATTTTTCTGAATAATTTCTTGCAATAGAGAAGGTCGTTGGTAATGCTGGTATGCAACAAAGCTAAATTTCAGAGTAAATTAAACGTCTGTGGCTGGCACGGCAAAATTCCATTCGTCCTTACATTACGCAGTCCGTTCCGCTGCTTCGAAAACCTCCAGGCATTTCACAAGAACATTGCCTTTAGGGAGGCGCTCTCCATTTTCATCTTAAGAAGGCTTCCTCCGCACCCTCCTTCCTCCCTCCACCCTCCACCCAACCCCAATCCATCCCACCCCCACCCCAAACCATCGCTTCTCGCAGTGAACTCGCGCTCGTCTCCCGCAATTTCGCCTTACTGCAGTTTAATTAGGATTTTGTCAGATCTGCTAACCCTTTTCAGATAGACCTGCCCGTCTCGTCGTTGGAAGCGATACGGCTGCCTCAGTGGCAGCTCCGACTGCGTCATTCCCTCGTCTACGACGTAGCGACTTTGATGCGAAGAAGCGTTCCTTTCGCGAGACGGGAGATTCGCGAAAGAGTCCGGTTTGTTCCCGACGATAACGGAGCGGCTCGCCGCAGTAATTGGAAGCTATTTAGGTCGCGGCGCGGTGTCTCATTATTCGCAGGCGAACGGCCCGGCCCTTTCGATAACGGTCGACGTGCCGGAGATAAGATTGAAGACAGCTCCCGCTGCGCGATATCGGATAATGAAGACCCGGACGCGTTAATAGTGAATTTTGCGGGAGCGCGATTTAATATTGACCCGAATCAAAGTTTACGGTAATTGCGCTGGAATTATTACGCGAGATCTGAATGGTGCGGCACCGCGGTGGATGTATAGTTAGAGGTATCGCGCTGTGGCAACGACGTCTCGTGGTGATTAAGAAGAGATAGTATGTAGAGAGCGGAGTGTGGTTCCGCGCAGCTCAACCTGCACTGTGGACTCTAATGCGTTTTATGGTTTATTAGATGGATACGATTTTGCATTTCTCGCGTTTCACGTAATTTACTGCAGAGATGTAAGAGGCTGGTGCCTGTAATCACGAAGTGTAGAGCTGGTTGTTAGCTGAATTTTGTGCGAAACGGTCTTCAGCCGATGGAACAGTCTCGCGGCGTCTACGGAGTCTCGAAAGGGAAATTTATTTTAAAAGGGAATAAATCGGAATTTTGGGAAATCGTGTTGTACAAAACTCACACTAAAGCAATTCAAAGTAAGGTATTTCACAGAAATTGAGTTTTTATTTAATGGTTATGCTGAACCATCAATGTTACATTTGAGTGCAATTAATTGTTGCTGAATTTAGTTTTCCTGATCACTGGTACATATATCTTCCTTTTGTGGCATTTATTCGTCTGAAAAATAATAGTAGGTAATAACTAAAATTTAAATATTTATTTGTCCCAAAACTAGAAATGTATAGATATGGAACTATTTCAAAGTATAGGTCATCTCAATGAGCAGAACAATCTAGCGAATACTTTAAGTTATACCCCAGTTCGACTCTTGATCGAGATAACCTCACTAAATTTAAAAATAACTACAGACTTTTTCTGCTTTATTTCACATAGATATTTATTTATTGGCCACCGTACAACGATAGAACTTTGAAAGCAACATGAATCAAGTATGATATCATTTTTATGAGTTACGTTCAAGGTTTTTGTTTTCAGTAAGAACATTCAATTTCTTAATTTGTGTTGCAACATGTTGGGAACAAATTAACAGTCTCAACTCTTCATTCTCAGCAAATTATAGTGTTATTTTTTAAATCTTTTAATTTACATAACTTTACGTTTCATTCCATATGCATCACCAAAAGCACATTTCTTCATTGCAATTACTTGCCCCATTACTCACCCCATATGTGTTGCTGTGAGAAACAAAAATTACAAGGCAAAGAACGCACTAAGAGTAACAGCATCCCAAGTCAAGCTTTGTATCACTGGAGGTTTTTTTAGAGACAGTATTGCCCGCAGTTCCCTTGCCCATTGTTTAAGGTTATGTTCCGCCATAGGTCTAGAACTGATCAGTGGAGACAGTCAAACACGTAAACTACTGATTCAACGGTGGGCTATCCTTCATATTCACATCAATGCAGTGTCATCATTCACGCCAGCGAAGTAGCAGATATCGAAAAACTATCAAAGTTCTATCTATCAAAATATATTTATTGGCTTTCAAAGTTCCTGACCTAAGTGGCATATTCCAAGCTTTACATGTTTGCTTGTTTTTGTGCCATTTAGGATCAACACTACCGGAGTTTTTAGAGGTTGTTCCTCTTCTGGACTCAATGCAATATGGCGGCAAGCGTAACATTAAAAATAACTATCTAAACATCATTCGTCATCTACGCAACATTTTCTGAACTGACCATCAGATGGGTTACTCTTTACACTCTATAATTCTACGGATTATTATACACACTGCAACATGAACTAAATTCATCTTTTCGCACACTATAGTTTTGATCAATCGACTATAATTACAATGGGTTATATAATATGACAATAAGAAAACACTCACTTCAAAATGATAAAAAACGTGAAACCATACAGGTTTTTTAAACTTTTCTATCATTTTATACATGTCATCCAGAAGAACATGTTGGGTTTGAAAATGGAACATAGGAAGCTGATAGCGTTAAAAATGAACAAGAAAAATTTTTAAAAATTAGACTTACCGAAAACGACCATCTTCTTCGTCATAAAATCCTCATCGGCGAACGTGGACACGTGGCACTTGTAGTCCCCGGACAGGTCGGTGGTAGGATTGACAATATACAGCGCGCGGTGCTTCATGGCGTTGTTATCGGAGGCCCTGTAGAGCAGGTCGAGTCGGCCTCGGAGTACCCCAAGGTCCTGGGGACGGCCGCCGGCGATCCACTGGTAGACGGGCGACGGGCCGTTGTTGAAGTACCACTTCACCACCAGGCCCGAGTCGGTGCGCAGTTCGTCGCTGCGCAGCGAGTACTCGCAGTCCAGCACCGCGGACGAAGACCCGTTGCGCACCACCGGCGGCACGTGCAGCTCCGTGATCTGCACGCCCCATGCGCCTGCGCACGCAGAAACCACCTTTCTTAGACAGCCAAGAGTCAATGAGGTTCTCTCGATACATGCAGCGCGTACTGCGAGTTCAATTCCTAACACTAGTGATAGGATGCGCAAGTGTTCAGATATACACTATGTCATCAAAAGTATCCGGACACGTCCAAAATGGTGATATTGTGTGGTAGTGTTTTTTATGCAGGGGGCTTACACCCCATGTTGTTTTGTGTGACACTTACGGCACAGGCCTACGTTGATGTTTTAAACACCTTCTTGCTTTCCACTGTTGAAGAGCAAGCTATTAGAAGGTTAAACTCGCTGTTCCGGGGAAAGAAATAGCCAGGTCTATTAAGAAAAGGCGTTTTGCCTCTATCATACAAAGTATAACTGTATGGCTCAGAAACATGAAAATTAAGGAAATGAGGAAGAGAAAAATTAATGAGTATACAAATGGAATTTTGAGAAGAAATTGTGAAGTATCTGAAATGGAACTCATTAAAAATGAAATAATTGTGAAGTGTGAGTGAATGAAGATTTAAAAATAAGTTATAGATGAATTGGAAATCCAAAGGTTGAAATGGTTTGATCACGTGGAAAAGTGAGAAAGCAGATATAATTAAAGTTGTACATAAGTTTGTGCTGAGACAAAAACGGCGTTTGGAAGAGAAAATCATATGTAAACATGCAGATACGTTTTTTATTGCAAGACATTAATATGTACATCATATGTGTACATGAAGAACCTTAAATACATGTTGTACATCATTTGTTCAAAATCAGATTCACTTTAGTACATGAGAATACATATGTGGAGAAGAGGACAAAGTTCATGTATCAAAAATGTTATAAAAATCGATCATAGAGAATATACGGACTAAAATATTGGGCTATTACGTAATGAGGCGCTGGCCATGCGCACGTTTGCACGCTGTGGTCCCTTCTCTTCAATAGACTGAACGAAGATAATTGTAGAGTGGTAGTATAATACACTAGTACTTCACGCTGTAATCGTCCAAACTTTATTCAATCACAAATTGCTTCATTATTCTAGATTCATTCACTATGTGTATCCTTTTGAAATTGGAAGTAGAGAACAGACAAAAACAATACTTAAATCACAGATTCCAAATTACCTGTTAATATCAAAGTCAAATGAGTCGCCTTGTTTACCTTCAATTTCCACATGCGTGTTCGCATACCAGAAACTGGATTGATATATTTCATGCATGTGGCTTAATTTATCAATAAATGGCATTTGAAATGCACAAATATAGGCGGCGAAAATTGTTAGAAGGGTGGCCCGCGAAATATTGTAACACGTTCTAGAATTATTGAGATACACCGATCCAGCTAATCGACACGGTTTAAAATATTGACATTTCCCCAGTTAGCTACGGAACATGAGGTCTCGTAGACACCTGACGCATGTTAAACACCAGTGCGGAAATAAACTTACAAAATTAATCAGTGCAAACTCATCAGCGCGAAAATGCAGATAAATGAGAATAGACTGGGTAATTTCACGAAATGTTGCATTTCGTGATTTCGAAATGGTTAATAGAAGTATTGAGGCTATAGACGTCTTGTTTGAACATGGATTGGGGCCAAAAAATAACGAGTACGATCAGATAGCCACAGATGGGCCATAGGCTTGCTGACATCCAACGAAAAGCAATTACGAATGTCTCAGATATTCTGGAAAGAACATTTAGACGCATGTGTTTATCAAGACTGTATATGAGCTGTAAGGGCGAACTCCGAAATTGTCGTAATGTAAATTATGGATATGTCTACCTGAGATTGTTGGAAATTTGGAAATTAAGAAATATACCCTTATTTATAGAAAATTCACGCTTGGTCTTTCTAAAGAATCAATTAACTGGATAATGTCAGCGCAAATATTCTGCTGAGTTGTTTGTGCTGAAAATCATGTTTACTAAAAAAGGTTGAAAATATGTTAAATGTTAAGCTTAAATAAAAGGAATTTTAGTGCATTTTACTACAAATTAAAGTAATGCAATTTGAAACTACGATGTGGAAAACTGAATTAATTAATTAATTAATTAAGGTTAAGATTTTAATTAATTGATTAAGATTTAATTTAAGATTTTGTGAATTAAGAGTTCACCACCCCAGAGAGAGGTCAGTGGTATCGAATAGTAAAAAACTTCGCCTGAAGAACATTTAAGGCAATTATTATTTATTACACTGTGATATTTTGGCGTATACTTGCACGACATTTATTATAATCCGAAATCCTGTCCTAAACTTTTACCTAAACGTTTCCTAAAAGTTTACCGTGGTCTCCCGTTGCCAGAATTATTACTGACGTGTATAAAGTAATGATATAACTTTCATACGTGTAAAACCAATAAAGCAATTCGAATGGTAAATTATTTTCGCTTTTCGCGTAAACCCCTGATCTGGGGTTTCATGTACTCAATTTTGAAGTGCAAATCTAATGTGACGAAACATTATTTTAATGATACATGAAACCTACATTCGGGAACCACTTACACAAAATCCGATTTATATTCAAATCAGAAAAGCTGAATGTAATCATCGCATTAGAATATCTGCTTTTGGTCAACCTGTGTTAATTATTCAATTTGTATTATATGTATATAGCTGTCAGTTAATCCACCCTTGCTAACAATATTTCTATAGAGTAATAATCTTTCTTTCGATCCTGCCTGCACAACGATCGTGAAAAAAGGAGTTATTATGCTAAGCACTTCACTCATGCTTTACCTGTATTTGTATTCATAATTGCCGATATAAAAGGGAAGCTTTTGAACGTCAATATTGAAATTATCTGTAAATATTAATAGTAATTAGTATATTTTTTTCCTAAAATGAATAAAATATAATGCCATTGCTCATTTGAAATGTCATTTCTCCTTGTATTGGCTTTCGTAAGACGTGGTTCTCGCCACCGGCTACTGATTTCAAAACCTAGGAAAAAATACGGTCAGATACAATGAAGTTTCATCGGCTGAAATAGCTCAGCGGCAATCCTTGCCTCTGCATCATTGTTGTTGGTAAGTCGTAAACCCCAGCGGTGACAAATTTTAGACACTAGCTCTACAGCTAGATTTGATTCACCGTTTGTCTGGAGGAAAATTCTAGCAGCCACCTGCTTCAGTCGGTAGTTTCCCTCCCCTTACACAAACAATTATATGCATTACACTACCTTTTAAGTTGGGAGACTAGTCGGGAGCTTAAGAGTTGGTCCCGCATGGAGCGATGCCACGCTGGAGAGAGATACCTGAAGGAGGAAAAGCCACAAGTAGATGTATGTATGTCGGCGGCGGTTCTCGCAATCCAGTGGAAGAAGAACATCATTTCCCCAGGATATAAAATGAGCTACACTTACGCGACTAATAGCATAAAGAGTTGACCTGACCGGAATTACCTATTCGATATATCTTCCAGAAAAATGTGAATGCTGGTAAATACTAGAGACTCGATTTTGGAAAAAGTAATGGTTTACTCTTTTGATGTACGCTAGACACCCGAATTAATAATAAACACTTTCCATAACTTCGCGATATTACTATAACTTCATTTTCAGTGTCAAAAATGACTCGTTTAATAATCCTATTTTCTATTTTTTATTTGGCAAACTCACAAGCTTGTTTTAGAGTCTAATCACTTCAAAGAGAGACAGTAATATTATTTATGCGTTTCGAACATCATCGCAAGTTGTTTGAGCGTATCTTTTTGTCAGAGATTGTGTCAAATTACAATCCAATATAGTCGGCTTAGTTTTCGTCATAGATACACTAGTTGGGCATTTATTTAATAAACAGTAAATACCAAAACATTGAATTGCTTATCTTTATACAAATAACGATAGCTCATAAACTATGTCTTCCATTTCTTCCAGTTTTTGTACAAAAAACGTGCTATTTAAAAAACTGTGCCTAAATATGGAAGTCAACAAACAGCTAGAAGTAAAAACAATGATTCTGAAAAGTCATTTTCATCTCAATTTATACCGCTTATTTTTTTAAAAAAAACAAGTCTTTATAAAATGCATTTTCACTTCTAAAATTTACTTTAGGCACCTAAAATAGAAGGCGATAGAGCCTAAAAATTCGACGTCTGGCTCCTGTGGAAGAGGCCGATCAACTATTCGCACAGCGGCTTCACCAGCAACAATTCGGTGAACGAAACGTCAGCTGAAATGCCAAGTTCTATTTGAGTTGATTAGACTCGCATACGTCTAAAATGACTTGTAATTTGTTCTATTACAAAATTGCAAACTTTAAAAGAAAACTTCATAGAAGATCTTCACCAGATGTTCACTTAATTATGTTCCAACTAATTCACACAACTACTTCATTTTTCATTTTTAATTAACTCAGCGAAATAATTAGGAAGTTTTTCGCCCAACTTTGGACGTAGTTATGGTTATTCCGTTTCTTTACCTTTTCCCTACCGACGTGTATGATAATAAGATAGTTCTGCGAACAAAGAGTACATTAAAACTTCTGCAGTCACTGATCATGAGATTGCAACTGCTTTTACTCCCTTCTTTAAAATTTAAGAGCCGAATTTACTACTTCTAGAGCCTTTTCCTACGAATACGTACTAGGGCATTTGCATGAGCATTTTCAGTTATAAGATAACGTGTTCTTTCTCTTCTCGTTTTCTTATCTTTTAACCCTGCTTCAGCGTTTTGGTGATCGTGCGTAAGACGGGTTTGACGACGTGTTTGCAACACAAATTCCATAGGCTTTGAAAAGGCCTGGAAGGCAAGGTTGTTGGGAGTAGATTAAGGTTTGATGTCATTTCGCTAATGAAGGAGAATCGAACGATGTTGTTATGACTGAATAAACTTGTTGTGTAAAATCTCATTTCGTGCAGGGAAAATTCGTGTGTCTGACATTGAATGTGTATCATAATCACAAAGGTAAATGAGGTATCAAATAATCAGCATGAATGGTATGCAAGTGATGAAGATTTTTCTGCTTTTTGCGTACGTGAATATTTGCAAATGCTC